AGGCGTTCTTAAAGTCAGCATTCATTAAAGCTTCATTTGAACTGTCTTCATCCGCTTGTATTTTTGTCCTTATTGACCCTATAAGTTGGGCTGCTTTGGCGTTGGCTTGGGCATCTAACCAGTCATTATTAGCTTTTATATATTCTGCGCTTTTCATTGCCTTTTGCATGGCTGCGTCGTTATTTTTACTTTCTTGTGCTAAGTTTTCATACTGTACGGTTTGGTTTTGCAACTGTAAAAGTTTTTCTGCCTTTACATTTGCTTCAACTTCTTTTTTATACTCATCGCTATCCATATATGTCTTCAGGGCTTTTTGTTTATTTCTTCATCTTTCAGTACTTTATATTGAGTAGTATGGTTTTTCAAATTTATAACATCTTGTTCCATTTTTGCTACTTCTGCTGCTTTTTCTGACACTTTTTTTGCATATTCCTCTGTACTTAGTTCTTTCAGTTGTTCTTCTTTCTTCTTTTTCTCTACGTTTAACTCATTGAGTTTCTTTGTGTGTCTGTCATATTCTAGTTTCTTTTCGTTTTCACTTATTTGTTTCTGTATGTCTATGTTTGACTTTTTGACATCTGTTATTTGATTTTTGAGTGAACTCAAATTCATTTGACTTTGAGGGTTATAAGCTGTTCCGTCTGCAGCTCCACCATAGCCTGCCATTTTCGCTAAAAGTGCCGCTCTTAAACCTCCACTCTGTGCACCAATAACTCGGTTTAAAAGCATAGGGTTGCTTGACATTTGTTGCAACATAGTGGGGTCATTCATAATTTGTTGTTGCAACTGTTGTTGTGGTGTCAGTTTTACTATTGGATGTTTCAATGCTCTCTTCCTCTTACGTATATTCTTACGTAGCTTACGTGGCATTTTAAGTGAAGTTAAAAAGCGGTTTTTGACAGATGTTTATATGACACTTTTTGTTCAGCACAAAAAACTACTCGGTCAAAGTGTTGTCAGTTTTGTAAAATATTTGTTATATCGTTCTATAATATTTTTTTAAAGTACTCAAATATATACTTTAGAAAAGTGGGTCTATCTCTATGAGCGTTGACGATAGACCATTATTTGTTCGAGCAAATATATACTATCGTATGTTAAAAATATTTTGACAAGTGTAAAGTATGTGTAAGCTCCTTTCTGTCAAAAGTTTGTCCGATGGTGAAAAATATGTATTTAAAAGTCAAAATGTGAAGTTATCTTCTCAAATATTTGAGATGGAACGGTTTGCCAACGGAGACTTTTCAATAAAATAAAATTATAGATGGGGTTACCGTTGACGAAAACGGTTTATTTTAAACTTTTCTATGAGTAGTCCGAAAAAAACAGTTTATTTTTCATAATGGAAGGAAGAAAAAGTGTCGCAAACAATTCGTCGACTACCTCTGCAGTTAAAGTTCCTACAACTTATGTCTCACCATTCTCAAAACCCTTACGACCTCCTATAATACCAAAGCAACCTCCTCATACAATTCAAGACAAATTGTTGGACAATATGCATTTGCACAAAGAAACAGCTCAGCCAACAGGTCAGGCAACAACAACTATCGGAACAGAAGCATTTTCAGAAGAAGTTCATACCAATCAGATTCCAATCGAACATACAGAAACACAACCACCCGAAAATACAGAAACACATCCAATCGAACATACAGAAACACATTCTGCAATGACCACTAGGTCGCAAACACGATATCTCGCCTTTAGCAAACAATTTAAGTCTCAAATTCAAGACACACAAGATAGCGACACTCCTCTTTCAGAGAAAGTTCGTAGAAAATACGCAAAGAAAAGGTTAGAATTGTTAGATAAGTTAAATGAACAGTGGGGTTCAGAAGACAATCGAGATTATAACGAGATGTTTCAAGCTGTCATGGATGCCATTCAGCCTCTTGAAAACGAAATCAAAGACCCTGGCGTACTTGTTGACATGTTTGCTTCATATTTACCCGTTACTGCCAATCTCATAGCGTTGCAAGCTATTGACCAGTTCATTCACTTGTTTCCAAAGAACTTGCAGAAGCATTTACAAGAAGTTAAAATTGCTGAATTTGTCCGTTTATATCCAAATTCATACAATTATTTGGAAGAATTGAATGAACATGGTGAAAGGTCATTCTATTTATATTTCTACACAAAAGACAACCAGTCAAAACGACTATACTGCATTGAACCTTTACCAGAATTTCAAGACAATTTCCACGTTATAACAACTGTTGCTTTAGATATTCCTGCCAGAGTTCCATATGGAGGAACAGTAACTATCTCAAGCTTTCCCAAGGGCTCTAAAGGAAAGCCTCTCACAATTGCAAAATTCACACACAGCAGTTGCCAATTTGTTCAAGATGTCGAGTTCCATTTCCTCAACAATACGACTTTCATCATAGAGACTCCTCAAGAAGGTTTATACAAAGTTTTCATCGCAGGATTTGTTGCTCCCAATGGCGAAGAAGAAGAAGTCGAAGAAATCCTCACCTCAGAGAGCGAAGAAGAAGAAAATTTCCAAGACATTCAAGATTCAGAATATACCGAATAAAAAAACAATTTAAGACTAAAAATTTCTTATGGGCTAGAGGGCACGAAGTATAGATCCGTATTTTTCCCAACTGAGCGGGGTATCTCCAATCCCAGCCCTATCGTCCTCCCAGTGTCAGTTTTCAATATAAAATCCAAATTTTTTTTGAAAATAAAAATTTCGAGAAATTTTTCTAATTTTTTTTCTTTGATTTCAATAATTCAAAATAAATTTGGGAGTAAAAAGACACTATTTAATGAAATTCATATGAGTGAATGTGGATAAATACTCTCAAAACATACAATTTATCTATTTTTTCTTTATATTATCAACTAATTAGTGATAATTTTTTTTGAATCAGATTTTTTTTCATTAAAAACATAATATATAACACAACAATGATGCACACATACGTATCTACACATCAAAATATAAAGCTTGTTTTGGTCTGGGCATCCCAACCCAAAATTCTTTAAAAATTGAATAAAATTGAATACTTGGGGCTGGGATACCCATCCCAAAACCGAATTGAATTTTTTGAATTAAAGAATATATTTATGTATTTATAATATACATGTGATGTCTATAAAAAATACTAAATTCTAAAAAAAATTCAATTTATTCAAAACGTATACTAAGTGATCACTTCATTAGTAGGATCAGCAATCCTACTAAATGGTGAGAACGCCACTAACTAAAAAGGGAGTCCTTGGAGCTCTTGATCTCTTGTCAGTAGAGTTCATAATGAGGCATGGCATCAACTGATTAGAGATCAGAGCAATCCTACCTTACCTTCAGGAGCTACAAAGCTCCTAATCGTTACGAGAGGGAGCCTTGGAGCTCCTGAAGCTCATCAGCAGAGGCTATTTACCATTTGGGCCTCTTCTGATGAAAGATGCGAAGCTCTTCTACGAACCAGGAGCTCCAAAGCTCCTAATCCTTACGAAAGGGAGCTTTGGAGCTCCTGAGTCTTCATCAACAGAGTCCCAGATGGTAAATGTCCTATGCTGATGAAAGATGCGAAGCACATCTTCGAACCAGGAGCTTCAAAGCTCCTAATCCTTACGAAAGGGAGCTCTGGAGCTTCTGAAACTCCTTTTACATAAAATAGGACAGTTTCTTCTGAGGTTCTCATCAAATCTAAGACTTCAGAAGAAAGCTGTCCTATCAATGTATACTTACACTCTCATGGACTACAAGTGTACAATTTTAAGGCAGAGATTATCTGAGGCCTCTCATCAAATGAGGACCTCGGATAATCTCTACCTTAAGTAGTCAAATAACTTTTCTCATTATTTAGGAACAAAAGAACAAGAGTTGGAGTACTTTAAGGCAAGATTCTTCCGAAATCTCTCATCGAATGAGAGACTTCGGAAGGACCTTGCCAAATCCTTGAACGCCAATATCCTTGGAACTGAGCTAGAACCAGGGAGAAGTAGCATACTATAGAGCACGATGGTAATCTCGGAAATGCTTATATCGCCCCAAGCACAATATTTAAGAAGTCTAACTCATATATACAAGAAGTCAGGCTGAATAGATATTGTGCATATGGTTTGCAGAACTCTCATGATATTTAAAATTCATGTTATCCCAAAAAAGGTGACACTTTGGGTGTATCGTCCATCCCAGGGATGCAAAAATCACATCACCTTGGATCTATACACGAAGTGCCTGGAAGCCCCACTTCCTTTTTTTTTTTTTTTTGATTATGAATAACCACTACATAAATGATCTCTTTGGAAGTAAATTTTCATCAAGAAATTTTGAACTTTATCTTTCTAACCACAAATACAGGTACACCAACAACCTTCCTTATGATAATTAATTATAATCTAATAAAAATATGTTTATGAGAGTTTTTTTTTGCGAAATGAATCATTCTAATGAACACTTCTGGTTTAATCATTTTTTACATATTTCACTTTGATCCCGTACTATTTGTTCTTTTATCAACCTCATTGTCTTTTAAATATAACCCTTTTCTTATTCCGGTTAATAATATATGCTGTGTATGAAAAGTAATCAGACAAAATTTAAACAAGCAAGTGATAACAAATTATTCTTTCAATTCAAATCCAATTTTCTAGAAACTAACATCCGAAAAAATATTATATCCTATTAATGCAATGCAATCACGGGATTTGACGTGTTTTGGTGGTGTTGACCAAAAATCTTCAAAGTTGATGAATTTTCTGCTATATGGTAACTATTGATCCGTATCCATTAAGGATTGCGGATATAGCTGAACTTTCCTGCATTATTATCTTATCTAGAATGAAATAATTCTCGCTGGAAGTTACTAAATATCAATAGTAAAAATGTTCATAATGATTTTGCTGAATCAGACGTAAAGAAATCAGTTTTTTCCAACGACATCATTTCGGATATTTATCAAACAATAATAAAGCTCCCAATAAAAAAATTTCAATATTTTTTTTTTCAAATGACAGTTTATGACAAACAAAGCATAGTATTTTCTATTTTATTTGAAGTATGGGTGGTTGAGAGCCTGATCTGTTGTATATCTCTTTGCCGGATCAATGGTCAAAAGTTTCTTCATTAAATCAACGAGTTGATCGTCAACAAGGTCACGGCAGTTACTATCGAAGTAACTTTCCAAGGTTCTCGTTGGTTCTCTGCGCATTCTCTTTCTAAATTCTCTTTCTGGCTCTATATCAAGTTTATACGCGAGGTCACAAAGATTATCACCTCCAAATATCCTCGACATGTGTATAAGAACTTCAGAACTCGTTTTGGCCTTCCAAGGAATCTGACCATCTGTTAAAATGTCGAAAATAAAGGTACCAATTGCCCAGCAATCACCACCAGTACCATAGGCTCTGTATCCAAGTAGCATTTCGGGGGATCTGACAGTCCTAGAACCTGCTTTTGGAGACATTGAATCTGTAATATAAGTTCCGCATCCCCAATCGATCAATTTGAGATCTGAGAAGTCTTCTGTAATCATAATATTCGCTAATTTAATATCACGGTGAACAATTCCTTTCTTATGAGCTTCATTTGTCGCAATAATTAAATATTTTAACACTGTTTTCAGTTTATGAGGAGTTAGGTAGTCAAAGAAATCATCAATATCGAGAGATTTAACGAGCTCAAATACTAACACGGTGTTTTCGTCATGAATCACTTCAAATAATTGAATAATGTGAGGCAAATTTCTTAAATCTTGTAAAAGCTGAACTTCTGTTGAGATAAGGTGGCTTGATCCACGCTCAATGACCTTTATTGCTGCTGGAATTTTGTCTTTGTATAATCCTTCATATACTTCTGAGAAATGACCTTGTCCAAGCTTTTGGTAGAACCTAATGGATGGAATATCAGGCAATCTGTCCGGTATCTTCCTTGGCCCGGATGTGGATCTTCGATGACTCATTCAATGATTTCTGAAGACAAAAGTGTCAAGATTTCATTTGAAAAGACAACTCTTGAGTTATACAGGAACAAAAGAAATCATAAAGTATGCATTGAACAGTTCAAAGAGCCTATGGAAAAAGTTCAAAATGTTTATTTTGAGGCCGAAATTCAGGGATATCTCATTTTAATTATAAAACAAAAGAGCACAAATTAAATATTTGGATAGAAAACATCCAATGTATAAATAAAATAAAGCCATTGGGTTAATAGTTTAAGAAAAATTTAAAAATTGTTTCGATGATTAACTAAAAACTAGAAAATTTTATTCGCTAGCTTAGCAGCAGCCGTAGGCAAGCATAGCATCGGCAACACGCTTGAAGCCGGCAAGGTTGGCACCCTTGTAGAGTGGAACACCATACTGCTCACTGGCAGAATGGGCGGCTTCGAAGATGTTGTGCATGATTTCCTTGAGCTTCTTGTCGACCTTCTCGGATGACCATGCGAGGCGGACGCTGTTCTGGGTCATTTCGAGACCTGAGACAGAAACACCACCGGCGTTGGCTGCCTTGCCTGGGCCGTAGTAGATGTTCTCCTTCATGTAGAGCTCGATTGTCTCGTTTGTTGATGGCATGTTAGCACCTTCTGCGAGGAGCTTGACACCGTTCTTGACCATGATTGGAACATGCTCTGGGAGAATTTCGTTCTGTGTAGCACATGGAAGACCCATATCGCATGGAACTTCGCAGGCCCAGATGGACTTGCCATCGATGTACTCGTAGCCCTTGAGGTCTGGGAAGAGTTCTGAAATCTTCTTGAGTTCTGTACGAGCAACGTTCTTGATGTGCATGACAGCATCAAGATGCTCCTTTGTCATACCATCCTTGAAGATGAGAGCGCCGTGTGAGTCTGAGCATGAGACTGGGATTGCGCCGAGCTGCATGAGCTTCTGGCAGCAGTACTGTGCGACGTTGCCGGAGCCGGAAACCATGGCACGCTTGCCCTTGATCTCTTCGCCCTTAGCACGGAGCATTTCTGTGACGAAGTAGACAAGACCGTAGCCTGTAGCTTCTGGACGGATCAGTGAGCCACCGAATGAGATGCCCTTGCCTGTGAGGACGCCCTCGAAGACGTTCTTGATGCGCTTGTACTGGCCGAACATGTAGCCGATTTCACGAGCACCAACACCGATATCACCTGCTGGGACATCTGTGTTGCCGCCGATGTGGCGTGAAAGTTCGAGCATAAATGACTGGCAGAATCTCATGACTTCGCCATCACTCTTGCCGGCTGGGTCGAAATCGGAACCACCCTTGCCACCACCCATTGGGAGTGTTGTAAGTGAGTTCTTGAAGACTTGCTCGAAGCCGAGGAACTTAAGGATGGAAAGGTTAACGTTGCCACGGAAGCGGCAGCCGCCCTTGTATGGGCCGATAGCGCTGTTGAATTGGACACGGAAACCACGGTTGACCATCATCTCGCCCTTGTCGTTGACCCATGGAACACGGAACATGATAACACGCTCTGGCTCAACAAGAGCTGGGAGGAGCTTCTGGTACTTTGGTTCCTTCTCGAGGATTGGGACGAGAGATGTGAGAACTTCTGTGACTGCTTGGATGAATTCCTTCTGATCTGGATCGCGTGCGCGAACGATCTCAAGTGTCTTCTGGACTGCTTCCATTGACTTAAAATGAAGTGTTATTCAGACCAATTTACTTTAATTCAATTGTTTTTCAGAGAAAACGATGTTGAATTCTCAAAATTGAATGCTACGATGAGTTATGACCTCACATAACTTTACATCACACTCTTTATTGTATTTACTATTGAATTACAAAAGATTTTTTTCAACATCGTTTTTTAACCTCACATCACCTCTTATTGTTTTTAGATAAAAAGTTCATAAAAATAATCAGTGTCTTAAATATAATATATGGATAAAATTCAAAATAAATTTTCTCCGACCATTGAGAGTAAATGTAAACCTCTTGATATGAAAGGTCTCCTCATCTTTTTCATACATTATATGTCTATTATTTTTTAATAATTAAAATTTTGAATACATGATTGATCCTTTCAATTTATTACATGCTAAATTGATCGCATGCTTAGACATTATTCGCTTCGATATCGGGTGCATACTCCCAACAAACAATATTCACCATGGATAAATCAATGAGAGTTTGTAAATAATTCATTATCGTTCTCTCTTACCCATAGGAGGAGCTTATCTCCTATAAATATGGCAACATTCATGAATAGAATACTAAATACATACAGTTTATGAACATTTTCCCTAAAACAAAGAATTTTTGAGAAAAATCTCTTCAGAATTGCAAATACTAATAACACAACAGCTAATTTATCCATGTACTTGTTGTATCAATTTGTTCTACCTCATACAAAGTTGTTGTTACTCATTTTTTTTGTATTGTTTTTATTATCACCTCAGATCGCTTAACCGATTCACGGAATCACTTCTTTATTTCCATTTTTATATTATCAATTAAACTTTCCCTTTTATCCAAATTTTTTACAGTTCTCCATAAATATGACGGAAACTCAATCCACAGGATTTATCCATTATCTATCAAATGTACTTCTATCCCATTTGAAATCAATGACCGACAACTTGATAAGTACATTTCAAATTTTGAATTTTTTCATTAGTAATTATATTGAATAACAGACTAAATATCACATTAAGCTAGCATAAATAATTCAAATGCTATATCAAATACATTGATTAAAGGAAAATAAATCTTGATATATTTCATTTCTTAACATTTGAAATGCAACAAATGAAAGTATTACTTTTAACCAAATAAGAGCAAAAGATTTATTAGAGATGATCTATAATTATAATTTTTTTTTTTGAATTTTGATTAACACTTGAAAGGTAACAAATGAAAGGATTACTTTTAACCAAATCATTCCAGTCAACTGATAACTGGAGAAGCGAATTGAAAAATGAATATGAAAATTTGAGAAAGGAAAGACTTCTTAAGTTTTTGGATAGTATCGAGAAAATTAAAAAGAAACTCAAATAAATTTATCAGTTTCTCACTTTTGGAGTTGATGCATAACTTTAGTTAGTTGATACTTTGGATGCTTTTGCTGTTAGACCACCTGAAAAATAATGGAAACTCTATTCTGTTTTCTATAATAGAAATTTTAGTTTAATGATAAAGTGACAAAATGAAGTAAATACAATCATATATATATATATTAATATAATGTTATTTTTATGTTAAGCGCCATGTGAAACAAGAATATCCACAATTTCTTTATTGTATTTTGATCTCATATAATCGAGGGCAGTTTTTCCATATTTTGTTTTGGCTTTAACATCTGCACCATGCAAAACTAGAATTTCCAATGCTTCTTTGCTATTATTATATGCTGCATAATGAAGGGGAGTTTCGCCTTCATTATTGGGAATGTCAATTTTTGCTCCATGTGAAATAAGAAGTTCAACAATTTTTACACAATTATTTTTTGCTGCGATGTGAAGAGCTGTTTGGTTAGACAAATTATCCTTTGCTTTGATATTTGCCCCTCTTGAAATAAGTACTTCCGCTGCTTCCTGATTGTTATATTCTAATGCAAGATGAAGTGCTGTCTGCTTGTATTTATTCTTCCTCAAAACATCTGCTCCATGTGAAATAAGCAAGTCGATTATTTTTCCATTGCAATATTCGGCAGCATAATGAAGAACTGTTTCATGACTTGAATTGTTATCAATCTTTGCACCTTTTGAAAGGAAATATTCACAAAGTGCTGGATGATTAAATCGAAGTGATTCAACAAAACCTTTGTTGAAATCCTTTATGGAATCCATGTAAACAATGAATGCAAGAATGTTCAAATACCAGGAACATTCATATGGCGATATTTTCATTGCATGCTCATTCATCAAATAAGTAACAAAATCGATGTTATGAGAAATGATGGCAAATTTCATACAGTAACAACGATTGAGGGTGTATATTTGATTTATACATTCAGATAGGATATCTGGATTTCCACTTAAAAATGCAAATTGTACGCATGTTTCTGTAATTTCTGAATTGAATTCTTCTCGCAAATATTTGAAAATTGATACTGATCCATGATAACAACATAGTTCAAGATAAGATAATCCATCTTTTGTAGGGGAATATAATTCACATATTAGTGTTTTATCTTTATTGAATCCTTCGTTCTGAGTAAATACGATAAATGACTGTTTATCGTCGTCCATTATTGCCTTCCAAATTGTACCTTCTGGATGAATGGTAGCAATGTATCCAAGTTCTCCATATTCATATGATTTTCCAATTATGATTCCGTACTCTTTATAAATTAAGTAGGCAAAAATTTTCCCGATATTTTGTAAATTGATTGGATTATATTCATCATAAATCCTTTTGAAGAGGATCAGGTATGACATCATGTATTCATTGTTATAAATAGAGACAGATTCTATGATGTGAATAATCTGAGAGGGCGTAAAGAATTTGGTTTCGATCAAGTTTCTTTTAATCAGTTGGTAAATCGTCTCTATTTCTTCTTCTTTGTACGTTTTCAATCTGTATATTGCTGTAATTGCATCATTATAATCTTTAATTATTTCCATTAGTTCGCTAAGTTGAGTTGAAATAATGAAAAATGAACTGAAAAAAATTTCAATGTAAAGAAAATTCAAAAAATTCAAAAAATTTAGGAATCCTAAAATTTTTCAAAAACTATTTTTATTTAATTTTAAATTGTAAATTTGATAATAATTCGCTCAGTCCATGTTTTATCTATGAGTTTTCATTGTCACAGAAATTTGTGGGGTAGTGGTGTTTTTTTGATTCAATTTTTGAATGTTATGTTTTATTGAACGTTATTAACTCCTTTTGTAAATATTGTAGACTATTCAAGATTCACCAAAAATTCATAATAGGTAATATTTCAAATATAAGTGTTCCTATGGAAAACAGTTTTAAAATTTTAGCCAGGACCCAAAAATTATGAAATGCTATCATGCTTATTTTTGCCCGAAAGAGTTAAATAAAGTTTTATGATCTATGATATAAAGATATAAATGTATCACGATTTTTAATTTGATTAATACTTAGAATGTAACAAATGAAAGGATTACTCATAACCAAATATGAGCAAATATTTGATAAGGGATAATCCAAAATTATAACAAGAGGAAAGACGAGATCTACCAGCAAGAACTCGAATCATTTCAGTCAACTGATTACAGGAGAAGCGAATTGAAAAATGAATATGAAAATTTGAGACAAGAAAAGACTTCTTAAGTTTTTGGATAGTATCGAGAAAATTAAAAAGAAACTCAAATAAATTTATCAGTTTCTCGCTTTTGGAGTTGATGCATAACTTTAGTTAGTTGATACTTTGGATGCTTTTACTGTTAGATTACCTTGGAAAATAATGGAAACTCTATTCTGTTTTCTATAATCCAAAATCATATAAAAAATTCTAAATTTTGATTAAAAAACTACAAACATTTATTTTATAGAGGGGGAACCATTTCATGTAACTTTTGTTTTTCCTCATTATTCAAAAGAGACTCAAGTTTTTTGTATCTTGGGGAGTTCAAAGGATATTTGTAAATTGTTTCCATTCTTGAAGGACATTTTGCAGCAATAAGTTCAATAGCAGATAAACAGAGAGTTCCTGCTTCAGGATGAACTGCGAAATGATTATCCAAGAGGTGGAAAATCGAACACAACCATCTAGAAAGTAAAGGATTTTCTTCCTCATTTTCATAAGCAGCAGCGCATGTCAAACACAACCTTGCCTGAGAGTATTCATTTGTTTTCTTTCCTGACTCTATAAAAATGTTGTTTTCTATTATTGCTGTTGCATTTTGTTTAATTAAGTCAGGAATCTTATTATTTATAGCTGCAAGTATATTATAATAGTAAAAATGTTCAATCTTTGTTATAGAATTCGATGCCAAATACTCCAAAGTAGTTTCCAAAACAAAATTCAAAGCATTTTCATCTTCTAAATAAGGAATTATAGAATTTGCAATTTGTAGAAGGATCTGCAAATGTTCAGTATTATCAGAATCTCTGATATTCTCAAAAACAATGTTAGAAGTAAACTGAATTATTTCTGTAGAAGCGCTACCGAATATTTTAACAACAGTTTGTAGAATATGGAGTCCATCATTTTCAGTTATCTCTTTATCCAACAAATTCGATGCTAAATTTACTAAATCTGATCCATAACATTCAGAAGAAGGTCCTGCAGTAACAAACAATTGACAAACAAATCCAATACTAGGAGATACTGTTATATCTTCAATATGTTCATTAATTAACGTTTGAATAATTTCCATAGCTGAAGGAATGATTTGTAGAGCTGTTCCTTCAGGAATATTCATTGCATAATTTTCTAAACTTCGCAAACAAGAAGAAACAGTTTCAACATTTTCGTAATTAGTTACAATTCCCATTAATAACGATAAAACAGCTTGTCTAATATCAGAATCCTGGTTTCCGCCAAGATAACTAAGTGTATGTAACACAGCATCAACAATTTTTGTGGATTCTGAATTCAAAAACTGTCCAATGATTTGAATCATTTCTTCATCAACAACAAATAAGTTTTTGTTAATTGCAAAGCCAATCATTTCAATAGAATAAAAAATAGATAGTTCAGAGCTCTCTTGTAGCACTGATTTTATAATTTCTGAAAAATTATCTCCGAATTCTTCTGCATTTGAACAAGAAACAATAGAATACAACAAAATAATTGATGCAAACTTTTCTTTTGTCTCTACTTCTTCAATATGAGAACTAATATACTGAATAATTATTTCTCTTGGCGGCCCATTATCTCTTACAGCAAAAACAATGGCATCAACAGATGTTTGTATTAATTTTGGATCAAATTCTTCAACTTCTTGTGTTAAAAGATTTACAACAAAATTAATAACGTCAATTTCGTGTTCTGATAAAATATAATCCCAATGATTATGGTAGCATATCTTAGATGTACCTACAGATAAAAGAGACCACATATCAAACGAATTCATGATAGATTGGTAAACTAAATCAGGAAGATTTGGAATTGCATCTAAAAAGTAGTTAAAAGGAAGTATCATTTTCCAGAGTTTATCGCCATCTTGCGGAAATTGTAATGTATAGTTCCAACAGATTGAAAAAGTGTCTGATAAAATTTGATTTTGAGAATCTGATGGAGGCCAAAGCAAAAGTAAAGTTTTGACGATTTTCACGTAGTATTTTCTTGATTTCGGAGTAACTTCGTGATTTTCGAGATATTCATTCATTATTTGGAAATATTGTGGAATATTTACATCCTGTCCTAAGCAAATCCACTTTAAACACTTATATATAGTATAAAGAAGCTTTTCGAAGAAGGTTACGGCAATTTCATTGTTAATTGACTGAAAAAGATATTTGATTTGAGTTAATAAAAAGCCTGTCTTGAAAGATGATGCATAAATAATAAAGCATTCAATAGATGGAACGCTAATTTCATCGGCATACTCGAAAAAACTAAATAATAGTGCTAAAATATCTTTGATTAAGTCCAAATCAAACACTGCAAGACGATATTCTGAAGTATTATTAGCACTCCTCTGCAAAGGGACAGAAAGGAATTTGATTGCATTTATTTTGCGCTTATCAGATGAAGTAGAATCGCAAATTATTTGAACTAAAGACCGAATGAATTGATTTGGGTCATTATCTTTTAGGCTCATGAACTGTGCATTGGCAGCTTCAATATCACCATTTCGAATGCCAATAAATATATCAAAAGCTTCTCCAAAATCCATTGACAAATTTTTTTGACATCTCATTTCAAAAGTTTTTTATATTTTTTATTGCTATGAAAGAGGATATTGATTATATCATTTATTTTTTTCCGAAACAAATTTTGAAAGAGGGCACTTGTGCGAAAATTTATTTTTACGTTTGCCTCTTTATCACTTTGTCGCGGTCTTAGAAATAAATTATCGGCTATGAAATTGATGTTGCTTGTTTCTACTCTCAAGACTCTAGAATTTCCATTCTCTAATTTTGAACAAAATTAAAGTTAACTCCCGAAATCATTCGAAATTAACTCGATGTCATGAATTTCAGTTTAAAATAGCATAGCTTCCTATGAGAATATAAGCCATATATTCATGCTATCAAGATTTAGTTTGGTGATGTCGAAATGTTCGACTCCAAAAAGGATGATATACAATTCCTACACCGATAACACACATGCAATTTATTTAGAAATATATCGAATAGATCCTTCGAGCAAGCACATTTTTGTAAAAAGAAAAAAAAATAATTGAAATTTTCAAATTTTATTCTCTATATATACTTTTCTTATGCTAAACTAGCTAAAAACACACCTAATATTACTCCTACATTTGATTCAGGTCTTAATTCATCAGTTTCCAAACTGGTATTTTTCTTTCCATTTGTAATACACTTATTTTTTGTATCAAAACTCAATTTTACTTGAAAATAAGCTGTGGATATTGAAATTGTACTTATATCATTTGCAATTGTCCCAGAATTTTCAAAATACGAAGTTATTACTGTAAAAGAACCCCCATCATTATAAAATACATGTGCTGCAGAGTTATCAATTAGTGAACAATTCGTAATTATTACAGTTGCACTTTCGCTGTAAATAATATAATCTGTAATATGGTTATTTATAATATTCATATATCGCATATTTCTTTGGCTTCCAGTATAGTGTTTTACAACATATGAAGAAGAAGCGGTATTATTTGCTAATTGACAAAAGTTATCATCAGTAATATTTGAAGCTTGTTCATTAATATACGCACATCTGTCTGAAGCCTGACAACTAGATATATTGGAATTTGAGAGTTTTCCATCTCCAAAAAAGATACATTGTGTTCCATATCCAACTCCATACGTTCCACAATTCGAACATGAATTTTGAATGTGCCAGTTTTTTGCATTTTTTGAATCACTCGTCCATGCAACAACAAAGTGTCCATAGGAATTACATTTACATTCGGATGCACAAATATATGCTCCTACATATTCTCCTGATGAATCCAAATAAATAGCACCTCCATATTCAGTTGATGAGATGCTATCAAAGTTACAGTGTTCAACAAGTACTTTTGTTGAACTCGAAGCAGTGATTCGAAGAGCTTTAGAAGATAAGTTTTTGAAGGCCAAACTAAAAATATAGTAATTTCCTGCCCAGTTTGACACTGAGCTATTATAGATTACTGGCACTCCACTGTAGTAATCGCTCCAGTCTTTTCTTGTTAACATGGTTTCCAAAAGAGAGCAGAACATAAGATTTAAAATTTTTTTGACACTCAATTGAAAAAATTAAATAAGTTTCTCTTCAATTTTCCCATAAATTCAATTTCCGACAAATCACGAAATACTTGATGAATTTTCAATTTTTAGCCACTTTTAAATCGAATGTGATTCAATTTTTGAGGCAGTCGATTGAAAATATCATGAATTCAATTACTTTAAAAACTATAATTATATAACTCATATAGTATATTAATATCTTGTTAACTTTACTAGTTGGAATGCATCACAAGAAATTCAATATTTTATTGACTGAGTTTACACATATTACAAGGCAAACTATACCTAACGATATTAGAAACTACAGTCTTCAAAAATCATGCCGACCAGATATCAGAAAATGGAATTATTGTACGATGGAGTAATTAAACTCTCTATGATTTATCAAGAGCATTTATCAACAAAAGTTAAGGTTTAAATACTCTTATACTCTCTTCACAATTTGAAAATAACTTTCGGAAATCAATCCTGAAGATTTCGACACATACTAACATGTGATGACTTATTTCATCATATAATTAATCAAAAACATCTTTTCTAAATAAAGATTTTATATGAACGTGCTAAACTAAATCCTAATATAAAATAAGAACTGCAAAAATCTCAAATTTCAATCTCTAATGTCAAAAAAATCGAGAATGTGTCAAATGGGTGTAAACTCAATCTTAAAATCTATAAATATGAACAACAAATAAAAGGGTGTGCACTCCGGTCTAGACTTAATCATTGAACAAAATAAAATCCATTAGGAATATCAATGGGAGCAATTTCACACGCCTGAGCTTCTTCTATGATTCTCTAACATACGATTATTTTTGATCTAAATGCTGTTCGGCATTAAAAACAAAAATAATCATTTACTAGAGAATTTCACAACATTGTTTTGGGTCACTTGGCGCCCTTGACAAAACGTCAGAAAAGTATTAATTTTCTGACACTTTTTTATATAAAAAAATGAATGAAATTTTTCAAGATTACCAAAATAGACTTAAAATAGCGGAAGATTTTTGCACTTTTATGGATATTTGCACAGATCCAATTTCATTTACAAATTGGGCTGACAAAGTGCTGTCTTCTAGAGGTTTTACAAAAATTTCAGAATCAAAATTACCAGACGTTGCGCCATTAAAAGGATACATCATCAGATCTAATAAAACGTTAATTGCCTATAACATTGGCGATTATAAATCGGCAGTGATCGCAGCTGCTCACTCAGATAGTCCTTGCATTAAATTAAAAACAAATTTCGACTCAAATACAACATTATACCAATTTCTAAACCTTGCAAATTATACCGGTGGCCTTGCACATACAATGTTCGGCCGAGATTTGATACTCAAAGGAAATGTTTACTATATTGATCAAGGAGAGCTTAAATGCAAATTTGTAAATTCAGTAAAGCCAATTGGATTCATTCCTTTCCCAGAAGTTACATTAAATCAATCATATGCTCTTACTCCAAATTTTAATCGCGATGAAAACATGAAAATTATTGTTAGTTCTGGAGGAAATACTCCTGTACGTACATACCTTGAAAAACTTGCCGATATACCACCAAATTCAATTGATTCTGTTGATTTATATCTTATTGATAAAAACAAAGCAAAAATAGTTCACGATCTCGTTACATCTGCAAGACTGGATAATCTCCTATCCTCATTTTGCTGTTTTACGTCATTTCTCTCAGTACAACCCCAAAATACTTTAAATATTTGCGCAATTTTTGATAATGAAGAGAATGGAAGTCATACACTCAATGGAGCGTTATCAGATATGCTGGAAAGAACGCTCAGATTCTTAGTTTTCAAAGCTCCTCCATTTCTTTCTTTAATTCCACAAAATGACGGTTCAGAAACGCAACAACCGTTATCAGATAATGATAACCATCGCATTCCAACCAAGGAAGAACTGTTTGACACCTTAAAACGCAATAGTATTTTTATATCTGCTGATGCAGCTCACGGAAGGCATCCAAACTATATGAAACTGTTTGAAATTAACCATCCGCCAACTATGGGGCACGGAGTTATCCTCAAAGGGTCAAATGCGAATTCAACCGGATTTAATCTTCGCGGGGAACTCGCAATTCGACAGGCAGGAGTCCTCTCAGGTGCAAAGGTAAACAAAATAGCCAGAATCAATGCAAGAAGCACTGGAGGAACAATTGGACCAAAAGTTGAAATGTTAAACGGACTTGCAACAATAGATATCGGAAATGCAACATTTGGAATGCACTCGTACAGAGAAACTGTGGCTCAGAGTGATATTTTCGACCAATACTTGGTTATTAAAGAAATTTACGAAAATTACGACTTAATATTACAAGGAATAGAAGGAGAAGTAGATCCTAATGATGTTCCTGCTGAAATTGTTGAAGCACTTGAAAAAAGACAAAACAACAAACCAAAAAAATCAACAAAAAATAAAAAATAATTTTTTTTATCTTTCTTTAAGGGTGTCGGAAAGTGAAGTGAAAGCTATTATAAAAACAACACTTTTCAAACCCATAAAATCGTTTTTATTTTGTTTTGTTTATATGAGTATAAACCTTAAGTGATGATATATCATAGTATCATATTCAAACTAAGTGAAAACGATGTTGATGATTATAAGGTTTTCGAAAACATACAAAAATCATACAAAATTTTTAAAATCTGGAAGGGAAAAAGTGCATTTATCTCAACATATGAGAATTGAAAATAAACTTTGTTCTGTAAAACTTTTGGTATAACTATTGAAATTTTGTGTTTAATGTATCTCACTGGCTTAAACACAATATTGGAAGACTAGATACAAATCTAATTAAACTTTGAATGAGACCATTTCGACTGGAAACCACTACCATTGGTTTTGTTCCCTAATGGTAATTTGCAGAATCCAATGAGATGGTAGTGAAATCTGTCTTAGTTTTGAAGTTACCCACTAATTGCATCTCGACACTTTTTAACAAGTGCCAAATGTTTTCTATAAAATATTTAGTATCTTGTACCTAGATTTCATTTCTGTAGTATCAGCCCTTGCCATGGAATAACCAGGGACTAGATAGGTCCGCAAGTTCGAAAATTGCGAAACAGTTTTCTTCATACTGGAAGTAGCCAAGACCTCAATATCATAGAAATAAAAACCTTAGTATATACACTACTAATATATGTTTCAATATCATTAATATATTTACTACAAATGAAGTTATGAGCAATACTCGAAATCGCGTCACCTCACTTTCCGGCACCCTTAAAAATTCATCATCATTTTTTTTAGTGTCTTATACTATGCTTCTAACTTTCTGTATCTGTGTATGATACACTGCATAAAAGAGAACATTATTTATGACTTTCTGATTATTAAAGATGTTGAGCTTCATAAACAAAAGCACTATTTATGATTAGACTTTTTTTTTTGAATTTGAGTTATTATTATTTGTTATGACTTGGCTTCCAATGTTTATTTATAGAATGCTATTCATCACACAACGATGTAAATTAAATAGCGCATCACATGTGAGTATTTTCAACAACAGTACTTCTTGTTTCATAACTCGAATAGCCTTAGTAAATAATGATTTTTTTTGAGGAACAGTTTTTCATTATGCACTACATTTGTTAATTTATCTGTGAGTATATATCACATTCATCTTGTATCGTCTGAGATAAGTAATAGCGAATTTCTTTATATTTGCTCGATATTCTAGTAAAAATTAATCATTTCAATCTGAATGTTTAGTTATAGAAGTTATCCGAGAATTAACTATTGTGTTACACATGATAACACAATATCTATTGTTTTTCATATTTAACAAATTGAACTCCTAAATTTTGAATCTGATTCGTTCCTCATAAAAAATGAAAAATGTAAACTATTCAAATATAGCACGTTGTATAAAAAAATAAAAAAATGGATCCAAAAGATGACCGATCCTTTATTGGGAAGGAAGAAATCCTTCCTCTACAGAAGATTCTACTTCAATACAAGAAAGATAATCTCGATGAAACTGTTGAAGAAATACGACAAACAGAATTTTTGAGAAGTATGGCTGGATTAAGAACTCTCGTGAAAGAAATAGCCGAACTTTTCATGATGCGCCCTAAGATGGCTGAGGAGATTGCTCGCTTATGCGTTGAAATAAATATGCATTCAACAGCCTTCAAGAATGTTCTTTTAAACAAATTATTCCACCCAGCTAGAAGGAACTTCGATAAGATATCGAACTACAAACTCCTTCTCGAATTGTTTTACTTAAAGTTCTTTTCAATGGATGAATTAAAGGCATACATATCTAAATTCCCGAAGAAATACGAGAACCAATACTTTTTACTTCTTGTTACATTCATTCGAGAGCTTTTCAATGATAATAGAGAGAATTCCAATCATCTTCTTGAAGAGGTAAGCAAAATGCAGTACCTTTCACCTTCATCTAAGACTTTCTTCAAAGAAACATTAATAGATTACTGGAAAGGAAAATATCAATATAACGCTGATCGTTATTTCCCAATTTCTCAAATCGTACGTCATGGATACCTCGAAGGAACAGTTCCTTACATGATCAAATATGATCAAGTTAGCAAATTCGAAGAATATTTGTACAGAAATCCAATCGATCTAAATGAGACAATAAAACCGAGTCTCTTTGAACCATTAGAGCTCGCATCACATGAACCATCATTAATATCATTTGCTGCTCTTTATAACTCCGAAAACATGTTTAATTTCTTAGTTTCTAAGAAAGTGACAGTTCGCAAGAAAGATTCGATTGGAACAAACTTGCAACAGTTTACAGCTGCGGGTTTATGCCAAGCTGCCAAGAAATGGCTCGTTCTGCACCGAGATCCTTGGAATGACACTTTAATTCAAGCAACTTTGTCAAGACAAGAAGAGATGTTTGATTTTATAGCTAATCAGAGTGCTTCCCAAGACATAGATCATGTTTTATTCACTGCTGCTGAATATAATAATCTTCATGCGCTTGAATACTGCATTTCTCATGGAGGAAACTGCATGATATGTGATAACGTTGATAACCAGACTCCATTACATAAGGCCGCTGAGAACGGCCATTCAGTTATTTGTTCTGTTTTATTAGAACAATCAACAGTTGATCCAAATGCAAAAGATATTCGTGGAAGGACTCCTCTCCATCTTGCTGCAGAGTTTGGACATATTGACATTGTGAGGAAGCTTTTAAAGACACCAACTGTTGATCCAAACATTAAGGATGAATATGGAAACACTGCATTAGATCTTGCTCAACCATAATTGTTTTGAAACTAAAAAATTTGATCTTATTAATTTTTTTATGTGTGATAAAAATGAATATGAAATTTATAAGAGTCTACTATTGAAATTTTTATTCGCTAGCTTAGCAGCAGCCGTAGGCAAGCATAGCATCGGCAACACGCTTGAAGCCGGCAAGGTTGGCACCCTTGTAGAGTGGAACACCATACTGCTCACTGGCAGAATGGGCGGCTTCGAAGATGTTGTGCATGATTTCCTTGAGCTTCTTGTCGACCTTCTCGGATGACCATGCGAGGCGGACGCTGTTCTGGGTCATTTCGAGACCTGAGACAGAAACACCACCAGCGTTGGCTGCCTTGCCTGGGCCGTAGTAGATGTTCTCCTTCATGTAGAGCTCGATTGTCTCGTTTGTTGATGGCATGTTAGCACCTTCTGCGAGGAGCTTGACGCCGTTCTTGACCATGATTGGAACATGCTCTGGGAGAATTTCGTTCTGTGTAGCACATGGAAGACCCATATCGCATGGAACTTCGCAGGCCCAGATGGACTTGCCATCGATGTACTCGTAGCCCTTGAGGTCTGGGAAGAGTTCTGAAATCTTCTTGAGTTCTGTACGAGCAACGTTCTTGATGTGCATGACAGCATCAAGATGCTCCTTTGTCATACCATCCTTGAAGATGAGAGCGCCGTGTGAGTCTGAGCATGAGACTGGGATTGCGCCGAGCTGCATGAGCTTCTGGCAGCAGTACTGTGCGACGTTGCCGGAGCCGGAAACCATGGCACGCTTGCCCTTGATCTCTTCGCCCTTAGCACGGAGCATTTCTGTGACGAAGTAGACAAGACCGTAGCCTGTAGCTTCTGGACGGATCAGTGAGCCACCGAATGAGATGCCCTTGCCTGTGAGGACGCCCTCGAAGACGTTCTTGATGCGCTTGTACTGGCCGAACATGTAGCCGATTTCACGAGCACCAACACCGATATCACCTGCTGGGACATCTGTGTTGCCGCCGATGTGGCGTGAAAGTTCGAGCATAAATGACTGGCAGAATCTCATGACTTCGCCATCACTCTTGCCGGCTGGGTCGAAATCGGAACCACCCTTGCCACCACCCATTGGGAGTGTTGTAAGTGAGTTCTTGAAGACTTGCTCGAAGCCGAGGAACTTAAGGATGGAAAGGTTAACGTTGCCACGGAAGCGGCAGCCGCCCTTGTATGGGCCGATAGCGCTGTTGAATTGGACACGGAAACCACGGTTGACCATCATCTCGCCCTTGTCGTTGACCCATGGAACACGGAACATGATAACACGCTCTGGCTCAACAAGAGCTGGGAGGAGCTTCTGGTACTTTGGTTCCTTCTCGAGGATTGGGACGAGAGATGTGAGAACTTCTGTGACTGCTTGGATGAATTCCTTCTGATCTGGATCGCGTGCGCGAACGATCTCAAGTGTCTTCTGGACTGCTTCCATTGACTTAAAATGAAGTGACTCAGAAATATTTTCACTTCACTATTTTTCAGAGAAAACGATGAGATAATTTAAATTTTGACCCTTCTCTCAAAATTTGATAAGCGATTCTAAATTGAGAGCGCATGTGATTTGGGAAATCACATATAATTAATCAAGTTATGACAATTAATATATTTAAAGAAATCTATAAAAATTGGACAATTGGAAACTTAATCGTAAGTTCAGTAACCTCAGGTTTTAGTTGTATGCGACCATAATTATGAGATTACGGTATTATTTAATATAAAAATCATAGTACTGTTGTAAACAGAAATTCATCAAAAGTGACACATCAGAAAAGCTAAAATATTGAATTTTTGGAACTTTTGATAGAGCACGTTTTTAAATATTAATTAAAGTAAATGTATATTTTGTAAAGATTCTTTTTAATAAAAAAATAAAATTTTGAAGAAGAACACAAAATCTTCTGAAAAATAATATCACATAAACTCATATTATTTTCTAATATATAACTATTTTATATAAAAATCAAATTCAATGATCTTAAAAGCGAAGGATAAACCTCAAAATTTACGAATATAATGAGTGGGAATATAATGCTTATCTATCATAAAACCATATGAAATATCAATTTTTGCTTTACGCCTAATTTTTGACGACAATTAGCAAAAAATGTTAAATGTTAACACTCAGTCCATTTGAATATGAAAAATAAAATTGACTTTGATTAAATGTTTTTATTTATCATGCAATTCTTCTTGCGACCAAAGATTTGAATAAAAGTTCAAAAAATAAGATAGCTTAAAAAATAATATACGGTAGTGTTTACTAATAGATGAATAGTATATAAATTCTATTAAAATGGATTTGATCCAAAAAAATGTATAAAATTTGATCATAAATAAAATCGTTTTAAATTACTTCTTCATTTAAATTATAACAATTATTTTTGGTTTTATATTTTTTTGTTACCTTCACAATTTAGAAATCCAGTAAAACAATAAGGATCATCCACTTGATTTAAACAACTTAAGAAGCTTTAACAAATTAAATCATCAGAAATAATGCAACACAAAATTTGAGATAGTGTACGTATTAAATATTTATCTCTTCGAAATAAAAAAAAAAAAAAAAAAGTATTGGGGCTTCCAGGGGCTGCGCCCCTTCTAGCCCCTAAGAAACTAGAGGAGGAATGAGACAAAGACCAGATGAAAAAAATAAAAATATTATAATAAAATTAAATTTTTAGTCTTAAATTGTTTTTTTATTCGGTATATTCTGAATCTTGAATGTCTTGGAAATTTTCTTCTTCTTCGCTCTCTGAGGTGAGGATTTCTTCGACTTCTTCTTCTTCGCCATTGGGATCAACAAATCCTGCAATGAAAACTTTGTATATACCTTCTTGAGGAGTCTCTATGATGAAAGTCGTATTGTTGAGGAAATGGAACTCGACATCTTGAACAAATTGGCAACTGCTGTGTGTGAATTTTGCAATTGTGAGAGGCTTTCCTTTATAGCCCTTGGGAAAGCTTGAGATAGTTACTGTTCCTCCATATGGAACTCTGGCAGGAATATCTAAAGCAACAGTTGTTATAACGTGGAAATTGTCTACGAATTGAGGCATAGGTTCAATGCAGTATAGTCGTTTTGACTGGTTGTCTTTTGTGTAGAAATATAAATAGAATGACCTTTCACCATGTTCATTCAATTCTTCCAAATAATTGTATGAATTTGGATATAAACGGACAAATTCAGCAATTTTAACTTCTTGTAAATGCTTCTGCAAGTTCTTTGGAAACAAGTGAATGAACTGGTCAATAGCTTGCAACGCTATGAGATTGGCAGTAACGGGTAAATATGAAGCAAACATGTCAACAAGTACGCCAGGGTCTTTGATTTCGTTTTCAAGAGGCTGAATGGCATCCATGACAGCTTGAAACATCTCGTTATAATCTCGATTGTCTTCTGAACCCCACTGTTCATTTAACTTATCTAACAATTCTAACCTTTGCTTTGCGTATTTTCTACGAACTTTCTCTGAAAGAGGAGTGTCGCTATCTTGTGTGTCTTGAATTTGAGACTTAAATTGTTTGCAAAAGGCGAGATATCGTGTTTGCGACCTAGTGGTCATTGCAGAATGTGTTTCTGTATGTTCGATTGGATGTGTTTCTGTATTTTCGGGTGGTTGTGTTTCTGTATGTTCGATTGGAGTCTGATTGGTATGAACTTCTTCTGAAAATGCTTCTGTTCCGATAGTTGTTGTTGCTTGACCTGTTGGCTGAGCTGTATCTGTTGTGTTTTGAGAAGAAGAACTCAAATTGTTGGACAATTTGTTTGCAATTGTATGAGGAAGTTGCTTTGGTATTATAGGAGGTCGTAAGGGTTTTGAGAATGGTGAGACATAAGTTGTAGGAACTTTAACTGCAGAGGTAGTCGACGAATTGTTTGCAATTGTATGAGGAAGTTGCTTTGGTATTATAGGAGGTCGTAAGGGTTTTGAGAATGGTGAGACATAAGTTGTAGGAACTTTAACTGCAGAGGTAGTCGACGAATTGTTTGCGACACTTTTTCTTCCTTCCATTATGAAAAATAAACTGTTTTTTTCGGACTACTCATAGAAAAGTTTAAAATAAACCGTTTTCGTCAACGGTAACCCCCTCTATTTTTTTATTTTATTGAAAAGTCTCCGTTGGCAAACCGTTCCATCTCAAATATTGAATGAACTATAAACGTTTTTTGTTTTCTATATATACTTTTTTGTCCAACGGTAAAACTTTTTACACAACGGTTTTTGAGAGTCGTCGCCGTTGACTTTTTGTAGAGCACTCAAAATAGTATAACTTTGTCCGGACAAGTAAGGGTCTATCGTCGCTACAGGAAAAGTTACAGGCGTTCCAAGGAAGTATACTTTGAGAAGCCTTTTCCCCTTATAGAATGAGATAGGACGGTTATTTTACAAAACTGACAACACTTTGACCGAGTAGTTTTTTGTGCTGAACAAAAAGTGTCATATAAACATCTGTCAAAAGCTTTTTAACTTCACTTAAAATGCCACGTAAGCTACGTAAGAATATACGTAAGAGGAAGAGAGCATTGAAACATCCAATAGTAAAACTGACACCACAACAACAGTTGCAACAACAAATGCTGAATGACCCCACTATGTTGCAACAAATGTCAAGCAACCTATGCTTTTAAACCGAGTTATTGGTGCACAGAGTGGAGGTTTAAGAGCGGCACTTTTAGCGAAAATGGCAGGCTATGGTGGAGCTGCAGACGGAACAGCCTATAACCCTCAAAGTCAAATGAATTTGAGTTCACTCAAAAATCAAATAACAGATGTCAAAAAGTCAAACATAGACATACAGAAGCAAATAAGTGAAAACGAAAAGAAACTAGAATATGACAGACACACAAAGAAACTCAATGAGTTAAACGTAGAGAAAAAGAAGAAAGAAGAACAACTGAAAGAACTAAGTACAGAGGAATATGCGAAAAAAGTGTCAGAAAAAGCAGCAGAAGTAGCAAAAATGGAACAAGATGTCATAAATTT